GAGAAGTGTTACGGTGACTTACTTGAGAAAAAGTGTGTGGTGTGCGGTGTGCGGAGGTTTACGGAGGTGACTTAGTTATGCGGTGTTACGGTGATGAGGAAATCAAAAGATAGTGCGTCTACGTTTACGGAGGTGATGAGGTGTCACTATCTCAAGTAGTACAGTGAAGGAAGAAAGAAATGTGTATTCAAAAATATTTTCAATTTTTAAATTAATAAAAATAATCATAAATAAGAAAATTTGCAGGAAATACTACTCACAAAAAATAAATAAATTACTTGCGAATTTATATTTAAAACAAAATTTGTAGGAAAATAAAAAAATTCCTGCAAATTTTTTTAGAAATTTTTATTTGCAACAAAAAATTCATATAATTAATATTTTGTAGTAAAATTTGTAAGAATTTTCTGCAAATTTAAAATTACAAAAATATTTGCAATAATTCATTGGAGATTTATATTTGCAAGAATTTTTGCAACAATTTCCTACAAATATTTTTTCGCATGAAAATCCTTAGGTAAATGGCATATTTCTAGTAATACTCGAAAGATCCATCTTCTTCTTCTCCAACACCCTCCTCTCAATCTCCCTCTCATCGGGAAGAGGCACGTGCACCACGAACTCCCTCCTCTCCCTAATTTACAAAGAGTATATGTTTTCTGTAAAGTGTATCTATGTGTTCTCTTGTATCGTGCCTTTTTCTCTTTCTTGAGTTTTAAATCTTCTTATATGGTATCTTGCAAAAGATGACTATTACAATACTTTGAGTCTAACTGGTAAGTTTGTTTGTCATCATATTTCCTTATGATGATAGATAATTGTTAGCTCATTTAATACAAACATTAAATGTATTTCACCGAATGATACCTCTTATTTGATCAAAGAAGTTACTTATCATCTTTCCACACCAAACGAAGCTTGCAAAAGCAATGTCATCGTAGTGTAGCAATAATAGTGACTATTAGAATATATGATAATATATTCTGATTTAATATAATATCTGTTAAACGTATATTTAGTTCCTTTTTTATAGCTAATTTATTTCCTAATTCTAGCCAAATTATACTATATATAATGTGTATATAAATAGATGATTCTAATGGAATGAATCAAGGAATTATTCTCTTTTATGGTATCAGATTTCCTAGGGAAAGATCCTTCACCTTTTCTCTGACTTAATTATACTATATATAATGTGTATATAAATAGATGATTCTAATGGAATGAATCAAGGAATTATTCTCTTTTATGGTATCAGATTTCCTAGGGAAAGATCCTTCACTTTTTCTCTGACTTTCGCTCACAACCCTAGCACCATTTGCCCTTGCTTCTTTGTCTTATTCATCATCCTATCAACCTCTATGTCTGACTCAAAATCTTCCTTTCACCCGCTCTTGCTGTCCCAACACCAGGAACCACGTTCCCATCACTCTTGAGATGGAAAACGTGCAATACACGACATGGGTGAAACTCTTCAAAATTCACGCACGATCCCATAAAGCAATTGATCATATTATTCCTCCAACAAAAGGCAAGGAGAAAATTCCTCAGACAGAGGAGGAGAAAGAACTATGGTCGACCCTTGACGCTACCGTTCTTCAGTGGATTTATGCCACTATTTCTCATGATCTTTTACATATCATTCTTGAACTTGACACCATGACAATAAAGGCGTGGAATAGATTGCGTGACATATTCCAGAATAACAAACACTCTCATGCCGTCACCCTTGAGTATGACTTCACTCACACAGACATGGCAGATTTTCCAAATGTCTTTGCATATTGTCAACATCTCAAATCTCTTTCGGATCAACTCAAGCATGTCGGCTTTCTCGTCGACAACAACAGACTTGTTCTTCAACTAGTTCTAGTCTCACCAAGCCCTACAACAGTGTGGCCACCCTTATTCGCCAAAGTGATCACTTGCCCCAATTTTATCAAGCCCGTTCGATGCTCACTCTTAAATAGGTCGGCCTTGCCAAAAAGGTAGCACAGAACTCGTCATCCGCCATGATTGCTCGTGACTCGGATGGCTCTCCTGATGTTTCTGATTATCCCTCTTCGAACCGCAATAATGGTGGGAAGAGTAGCCAAAATCACAACAATAATAGAGGGAAAAATCGTCGCAATAATGGTGGTTGTGGTGGCGGAAAGGGCAGCACCAATCGTGGGGGTACGACTGGAGGCAGCAATAGTCGTGGTGGTGGACAGCAGCAAGCCAGTCAGCAAGCTCTGGCCAATGTCCCATGGCCTGACGGACAACCGTGGCATTGGCAATGGATCGCTCCATGGGCTATACCTCCTTATCCGTACCCTACTAATTCATGGGCTAGGCCCAAATTTAGACAGCAGCAATGTCAACAGCCTGGTGTACTTGGGCCTAGACCTCCTCAAGCCTACATTGCAAACCAACTCCAACAGACATAGAAGTCGCAATGCATACTCTCGGCATCAGTCGTCTGGATGCAAATTGGTACATGGACACTAGTGCTACTTCTCACATGACATCCGCACAAGGTAACCTCACGTCTTATTTTAATATGAGCAACAAACATGGTACAATTGTTGGTAACGGTCATTCAATACCAATTCATGGCTATGGTCACACCAAATTGTCTTCCCCGTGTCCTCCCTTAACATTAAACAATGTCCTTCATGCTCCTCAACTTGTTAAAAACTTGGTGTCAGCTAGAAAGTTTACAACTAATAACTCTGTTTCTGTTGAATTTGATCCTTTTGGATTTTCTATGAAGGATTTTCAGACGGGGGCCGGTAATGAGGGTGTGAGAGTCCACTAGTGGTAAAAAGCTTTTAAAATCGGTTATTTTCAACTTTTAAAATCGGTTCTGTAACCGATTTTAAAAGAGCCGATTTTAAAAATTAGACTTTTAAAATCAATTATTTAACTGATTTTAAAGTGTAACTTTTAAGATCGGTTGTTTTATAACCAATCTTAAAAGTCTTGGCTTCGAAAAAATTAAATTGGAACAGGCCGTTCCAAAACAAGAATGAGTTGTTCCAAGTTATTAAAAAGGCCTAAAATTGTAATTTGGAACGGGCCGTTCTAGCATAGATTGGCATGAGTTAAAACCAATCCAGAACAGGTTGTTCTCCTTGCAAAACAGCCCGTTCTCCTTGCAAAACGGGCCATTTTGCACAGAGAACGAGTCATTCTCCTTGTAGAATGGGTCGTTCTCCTTTTCTAGATTCGATATTTACCCAAAATGAACCTACAACAGAAATAGAGACACGAGAAGAAGATTAGAAGATGAAAAGAGACACGAGAAAAGCATGAAAAGATGAAAACGAAAATGACAACGAAATTTACCTTATGGGAGAGTTCAGAAAATGAGAGCGCAAGAAAGTAAAAAAAGGAATGGAGGGAAAGATTAAAGAGAATGAGAATAGAGGAAAATATAAAAGGTTTCTGACGATACTTTTAAAATCGGGTATTTAAGAAACAATTTTAAAAGGAGCACTTTTAAAATCAGTCATAAAATAACCGATTTTAAAAGTACTTTTAAGATCGATCTTGAAAGTTGTGTCAGATATACCTTTTAAGATCGGTCATAAAATAATCGATCTTAAAATTACTTTTAAGATCGGTTAAAATTTAACCAATCTTAAAAGTGTTCACATTATTGACAAAATTGCCACTGCGTGACTTTTAAGATCGGTTACCTTTTAACCAATCTTAAAACTCTGATTTTAAAAGCTTTTTTTCCATTAGTGGTCGGGGCGAGCTTTATCCCATCACCAAGCCTACAAATCCATATACATTTGTTTCCATAACACCATCTCTTTGGCATGATCGTTTGGGTCACCTGGGAGCACCTGTTTTGAATTCCCTTAGGAAGAATAAATTGATTAAATGTAATCAAATTAAGAATTCTCATATTTGTCATTCATGTCCTCTTGGAAAACATGTTACGTTGTCATTTTCTGCTTCAAATTCTTGCACTATTATGCCATTTGATATTATCCATATTGATCTTTGGACGTCACCTGTTTTGAGTTCATCGGGTCATAGATATTATGTCTTGTTTGTGGATGATTATTCCAAATTTTTGTGGACATTTCCTTTATCACAAAAATCACAAACTTATTCCACATTTTTGAATTTCAAATCCCTTATCCAAACTCAATTTGAATGAGACATAAAAAATATACAGTGTGATAATGGCACAAAATTTGATAATAGGCCTTTATGGGAATTTTGTAAAGCTAATGGTATTTCTTTTCGTTTTTCATATCCTCATACATCCCTTCAAAATGGGAAAGCTGAAAGACAAATTCGTACAATCAACAACATTGTTCGTACCTTATTGGCCCATGCTTCTCTTCCCCCTTCTTTTTGGCATCAGGCTTTGCAAATGGAAACATACCTTCTTAATATTCTTCCTCACAAGTTATTAAACTATCAATCACCTCTCTGAATCCTTTATCAAAAGGACCCATCTTATTCTCATCTTCGGGTATTTGGAGTTTATGTTATCCTCTCAATCCTTCTACAATCGTAAACAAACTTCAACCTTGGTCTATTTCTTGTGTTTTTTTTGGGTATCCTCCAAATCATCGTGGGTACAAATGCTTTGATTTATCTTCTAAAAAAATCATCATTAGCCATCACATAATTTTTGATGAAACGCAATTCCTTTTGCACAATTACATACTCCTCAAAATCACACTTATGAGTTTTTAGATGATGGACCATCTCCCTATATGGTCTATCATTTCTCTACTCAAACAAGACCACAAGCTACTCCCTTACCCAACTCGTTAGAGCCCATTTCACCAGATCCAGCAACCGACTTGCCAAACCAGCAAATAAGCCTTCCCATGCCGACTAGGCCAAGCCCCTCCACCCCACCTCCTTTCCTACCCATCTCTCTTCCTCACCCAACTCCAAGCTCACATCCAAGCCCACCAAAAAGGCCTATTACTAGAAGCCAACATGGGATTTATAAGCCTAAGAAGTCCTTCACTCTTCTTACCTCTATGTCTAAGTCCCCACTACCTCATAATCCTATATCTGCTCTTCGTGACCCGAATTGGAAAAAGTCTATGGATGATGAATATGATGCTCTCATTAATAATAAGATATGGGAGTTGGTGCCCCGTCCACCTAATGTTAATGTAATTCGGTCTATGTGGATTTTTTATCATAAATACAAATCTGATGGTTCTTTTGAGAGGCATAAAGCCCATCTTGTAAGTGAAGGTAAAACTCAACAAGTTGGCGTGGATTGTGGTGAAACGTTTAGTTCGGTGGTTAAACCAGAAACTATTCGCATAGTTCTCAGTTTGGCTCTTTCTAAAGCTTGGTCTATTCATCAACTTTACATAAAAAAATGCATTCTTACATGGAGAACTCAAGGAAACGGTTTACATGCATCAACTCTTCGGGTTTCGGGACCCTGATTGACCTAATCATGTGTGTTTGTTAAAGAAATATCTTTATGGGCTTAAAAAGCCCGACGGGCTTGGTATAAGAGATTTGCTAACTAATGTTCGTACTCTTGGGTTTTTTCACAGTACTTCGGATCATTCTTTGTTCATTTATCATCGAGGTATTTCTATGGATTATTTATTGTTATATGTGGATGATATAATTTTGACTGCTTATTCTGATGAGCTTCGTAAGTGTGTCATATCCCTTCTTAGCTCAGAATTTGCTATGAAGGACTTGGGACATTTGAGCTATTTTCTGGGCATCAATGTCACTTGTCATGCAGGTGATTTATTTTTATCTAAAAAAAATATATGCTGCAGAGATCATTGACCGAGCTGGCATGTCATCGTGTAAGCCATCTCCTACTCCTGTTGATACTAAACCAAAGATCAGTGCTGCTACAAGCATACCTTTTGAGGATCCATCTCTTTATAGGAGTCTTGTAGTGGCTCTTCAGTACCTTACATTCACAAGACCCGAGATTACTTATGTCGTGCAACAGGGATGCTTATTCATGCATGACCCAAGGGAGGAGCACATGCACGCTCTCAAACGGATTTTGCATTACATTCAAGGTACTATGGATCTTGGTCTTCATCTATATCCATCTTCTACATCCACCATTCTTTCTTATACAGATGCTGATTGGGATGGGTGCCTAGATACACGACGTTCTACGTTTGGTTATTGTGTTTTTCTAGGAGATAACTTAATGTCTTGGTCCGCCAAACAACAACCTACCTTATCACGATCTAGTGTAGAGGCGAAATACTAAGGGGTTGCCAATGTGGTTTCTGAGTCATGTTGGTTGAGAAACTTACTTTTGGAGCTTCATTGTCCAATTCAAAAGGCTAAATTGGTATATTGTGATAATGTTAGTGCCATATACCTTGCTAGAAATCCTGTTCAGCATCAACGCACTAAGCATATTGAAATGGATATAGATTTTCTGACAGATTTTTATTTTCGATGGATTTAAATTTGACGAAAAAAGTGGCGTCGAAAAAAAAAATCCGTCAGAAATAATTTAATTTCTGACAGAAATATTTTACGACATTTCACTATTTAGCATGTTTTATCCTTACTTGCGCAATTTTTGGAAAACTTCCCAAAAGGTCATCCATCCCTGTATTACTCCAGGTCAAGCACGCTTAACTGTGAAGTTTTGATGAGTAAACTACCAAAATGTATATGTATGTTGTCAATATAACTTGTACAAATTAGTTCATTTAAGTTATTCTCAAATATACAATCTCATACTTGTACTATGATAATAATATATAATAATTTTATAGTATGAATAATAATAATAATAATAATAATAATAATATATTTAATTATTTTTTATTTATATATACTTACCACTACAAGAATTTCGCGGATTAGCAAGGGAATTTAGCGAGGGATATAAATCCAAGCTATTTCCTCGCTAATTAGCGAGGGACTGGCGAGGAATACAGTTCCTCTCTAATCCCTCGCTAATTAGCGAGGAAATAGCTTGGATTTATATCCATCGCTAAATTTGCTCGCTAAATAGGATCATTTTGCGACCAACCTTCATCTCCTCGCAAATCCGTCGCTAAAGCTAGTGCTTATTTAGCGAGGAACTTAGGCCCTCGCAAATCCCTCGCAAAATTATGAGCCAAAATATAAAAACAATTTTTTCATTTAGCGATGGAGTTTTCTTGTCGCAAGTCCCTCGCTAATGAGTTATAAGTATAGCCCTCGCAAATCTGTAACAGCCCAAGCAACCCGCATGAGGATATTGTCCTTAAAACCGAGATCGCTGGGGGGAAGTGACCTTTCGCGTACTTCTGCCTGTTGAGATGCCATGTGTCGTAACTGTTCATTTTTCGAAAACGTGCAAGTGGCGCGTTAAGGG